CCTGGGATCATGACCTGAGTGGAAATCAAGAGTCAGACACTCAACTGATTGAAACTCGCAGGCACCCCAACATGTTATTTCTAACTTTAATGAATTTTGTAAGTTTCGATTAGTACTGGGGGAGGGTCTCAGCAAATAAAACGTCTTTTGAAACCTTAAAAAGAGCGTTAATAAAGGAAAAGGAGTTAACATTGTAAATACCTTCCTTCTCAAACGTTTTTAAACAATGTATTTACCCATATTGATAGCTCCATGAAAAACAAAATCCCACGGTTTATTTGTGATCATGTTCAACTTCAAAAACAGTACTAACAACTTTGTTCTGATTCATCTTAGCCCCAAATTCTTGAGAACCCCAAATCTGGTGGTATAAATCTAGTTCTGACTAAATAATTCAATTGACATCCATAATGCAATAGATAAACCAAAGGAGAGGAAAGGAGGTATTTTTAAACACATCTTTTTGGTGTTTCCATTAGGCTTGATTTTTTTTTTTTTTCATCTCCCTGAGATACCCAGTCCTTCCTAGAAACTTTACTGTCATGATAGTACCTGCAGAGTGATAGCACTACCAGACCTGGCTGTTTGTTTCCGAGTAAGAACAGCTGTGCGACAGACTGTCTGAACAGTTCCCGTTTCAGGACGCAGCGCGGATCTCTGACACCAGGCAGTTCTGCACCAGCTGGCTCTGTGCTCGGTGCTTTGCTATTCCTGGATGATTTACCTGTTCTCAGCCCTGTCACCTTACTGTTTCTGCCATCTAATTAAAAACCCATGTTACTGGATTCACTCTGCTACAAATTAGCAATGCTATCTGTGTTCTTTCTGAGCCTAAACTGGCCATTTTTACTTTATGATACATGATTTATTTTTAAATTTATACAAGATGCTTGATTATTTATTTGTGGTATATTTTAGCTCTCTTGTGGAGTCTCGATCAGAGTAATCCTCTTCTAATGTATTCATATAGAGTGAAGATCTAAATTTCCTAATCAAAATCATGTCAGCAAAAGTAGAGCTGCTCTTAGGATAACATTTTAGTCTAGAAAATGATTTTCCTTTAAAAGGGATTCAATGGACATGATGACATAAAAAGAAGCGGCAAAATTACACACAATCAGTTCACATAATCAAAACAGCAATGTTTTATATTCAGCAAGGATTTCTTTTTTACTATAATAAATGGAACAAAATAGTCCTTTTGGAATTCTGCAACTGTGTTATGGCTACAAATGCAATACTACTAGCATTCTACAGAATTAGAGACCAGCATTTTCAAAGCTGTAGAAGAAATGATCCCATTGAGACATAGTCCCTAAATATACATTTGGGTGACATTTTATCACTAACGATGATGTTCTACCTTCACTTTAACTTCATTAGGAACTCACGATTACATCAAGATTAGTCTATTTTTAAAAGGCCTAATTCATGCAAGTAGTCAATTCAAATGGTTGGATTTTAATCATAACTGCCTAGAAAGGAAATTTCATCCTAATATATACATTGGAAGTGTATAAGATCTATGGAGGCTTTTGAGATCCATCAGAAAAATCTGGTCCTGTCTTGTGGGATGCTCCAATGGCCTCTGGGCATGCTTCTGTCATAGTATTCTAGAAGAGTGTGTTGTAAGCCATGTCCACTTGCTTAGAAAGATTGGGGTTCTGTGAAGCAGGTATCATGTATTGTACATCCTTGTAATTCTAGAATCTAGCCTGGGCCTGATGTATGCTAGGTGCTCCAAAAATGATTGTTGAATCACTTTATGGAAATCAAAGGAATATGGATTAGCGTCTGCAGGGACTAAGGTACTAAATTAATTGCCTTCACAAGATGTAAAATTATAGTCACACCTCTATAAAAGAGTGGCTAAATAAATTTCGTGAATAGATGTGTATAATCTAAATCAAAGCTCTGCTTTTTAAACAAATTTTAATGTTTATTTTTGAGAGAGAGTGAGACAGAGCATGAGCAGGGGAGGCGCAGAGAGGCATGGAGACACAGAATCCAAAGCAAGCTCCAGGCTCCAAGCTTGTCAGCACAGAGCCCCACATGGGACTCGAACTCACAAACTGCGAGATCATGACCTCAGCTGAAGTTGGATGCTTAACCGACTAAGCCACCCAGGCACCCCTGTCCTCATTCTTTAAAAAAAAATTAATGTTTATTTATTTTTGAGGGAGAGACAGAGTGTGAACAGGGGAGGGGCGGAGAGAGAGGGAGACACAGAATCCAAAGCAGGCTCCAGGCTCCAAGCTGTCAGCACAGGGCCCGACGTGGGGTTGGAACTCACGAACCGTGAGATCATTTTTTTTTTTAATTTTTTTTCAACGTTTATTTTATTTTTGGGACAGAGAGAGACAGAGCATGAACGGGAGAGGGGCAGAGAGAGAGGGAGACACAGAATCGGAAACAGGCTCCAGGCTCCGAGCCATCAGCCCAGAGCCGGACGCGGGGCTCGGACTCACGGACCGCGAGATCGTGACCTGGCTGAAGGCGGACGCTTAACCGACTGCGCCACCCAGGCGCCCCACGAACCGTGAGATCATGACCAGAGCTGAAGTCAGATGCTCACCAGACTGAGCCCTTCAAGTGCTCCAAAGCTCTGCTTCTATTTTACTAAAGATTCTTCAATTCATAATCACACACACACACACACACACACACACACACACAACTGCTTCCCATTCAATAATTAAATTATCCTTTGGTCTTTTTTAGACTTTTGACTTTAAGAATTTTATCTATATAGTGCATTTCTTTACTTTTTACTGTGAACTATAACAAAATTTGTGTGAAGTTTGGAACTATCAGTTTACATACTTCAGTGGGTATTTTTGGGAAGTAGAGACAGAGTGACAGAGTTGCTGGAGAATTTAAAAAGTCTGAAGCTGTCCCTCAGTAGCTAGTCTGCCTTTAACATACTGGAAGTCACACCTCAATTCGGGACAGATACATACTGCCACAGTTACAGGAGCTTTTGCTATGAGCCTGGAAGTTAGCAAGAAATTTTAAGGGATAGAGGAAAATTATAAGGGATAAGAAGAAAGAGAACTTAATTCCTAGGGATAGTCTGAGTAGCTTTCCTTTTCCCCAAAGCTATTTCTTCCTGCTTCCCACTATAAGGGTATCAAGAAAAGAACGTTCCTTTTGCGTTACAGCAAACTGTAAAGATTCATAAAGATTCTCAAATGAGAACAGAGCAACCTGTTAATGGGAAGCTGTGACGAGTTACTTTGTGACTTAGAACCAGCATTCATGACTGGCTGAAGTTAAACTGGTCAGCTTATAGCAACAGGAAAGACAAAAGCATAAGTGAGCAATAAAGCCATTGATGGAAGCATGGCCCGGAAGAAAATTGCTTTTGTAAGCACGAGGAAACAGCTAGTAGGTAGCCAAAGAAAAAGTATAATATTCAGTGTCTTCATTGACAGCAGCCGGAAATGGGTACAAGGGGAAACCAGAGTCAGGAAATGCACTAGGAGAAGAAGATAAAGAAGAGTAGTACTGGTAATAAAGTTCTCATAGTGTAGTAAAAATAAATCGCTGTGGATATAAGGGAATCTGAGTTCCATTGATTGCTTCTAGGAAATGTCAGTGCAGAGCCCAAGAATTGGCAATCTGATGAGGGAGTAAAAAAATAAAGGAGGCCAAAAAGGAGGCCAAAGACCATGATTTTGCATACCATTTTCTTACAGAAGTGCATAATTATTTGTATAGACCACACATGCCTTTTCGGGTTTATAATAGGAACTTGTGTTTTGCATTTAGGTACTTTTTTTCTAAAATTTTTCTGAGCTTGAAAAATGTCTCATTTATAGTTTTTCTTATCCTTATTTTAATTTAAAAATGTATTTCATTATGTTATATGTCTATTTGGTTAAATAATCCTCAATTATTTGTAGATTAAGGCAGATCATTTGAAAATTAAAAATATATATGTCTAAATTAATATACACATAACAATTACTTTAAACACAAATGTAATTAATTATGCAATGTATTTTACATATAAATTTATAATTAGGTGTATAGTGCCTACATTCATTATGTACACATATTTACTTAAGTGTTAATTTAGGCCTTCTGCAACTAATTATGAGAAGTTATAAAATGTATTTTTTCACTCAAAGTGTCATTTCATTCCTCTGAGCTGATCAGCATCTTTCTTCTTTAGTTCCTAAAAAACCTCTTCAAACGTTATAAACCATACACAGCTGAACTTGATGCAGGGGCAACCAGCATTAGGCATCATCTTGAAACATTCTATTACATCTTATGCTGTGCATCATGAAAAAAGCAGCACAGTACCTTGTAAGCCTCTCTGGGCTTTGAATGCACTACAGACCACATATTTGAATGCCTCTGACCTACAAAGATGACATAAAAGGCTGCTGTTTTGACAAGGGGATTGCATCAAGTCTAACTTGCAGTAAAGTAGCTTTGCTCCCTGGCCGATATCATCTGGCAAACTCCCTGGTATCAGATGCATCGGTGGTGGGAAGAATGGCATGTAGATTTTATGGCAAGCTCCAATAGGCAAATCACAACACAGACGGCACCCTCTCTCCTCTCTCCCTTTCCTTCTCCCTTCCTTCTTTATGATGTACTTTCCATCCTGTTGAATAACTTGACACATTTGTTTCTTTCTAAGCTATTAAAAGCTTTCCTATCTATGCAGCATTTACTGCCTTGATGTTTGTGATTATGGTTCTCAGTTGCAATAAGAAATTCTATGGAAATCATAACCAATCCTGGTTTCAACTGATCAGCTTACAAAGGGTGAAAACCTTCTTTCAAGATGCTCTCAAACGTGTGAGGCACACCTCAGTGAATGTAGTGTTAGAAACCTGCTGGCACTAAAAAAAAAATTGCTTAAAAATTAGTAAATAAATACAGGTTTGCCGAGGTTGAGCATAATTTTAGCCAAACTGCAAATATTAATGGTTTAGTTGGAAGCATGCCTGACTTTTGGTCCCCTCTCTCTTTTTATCATTTAGGTACTCAAAAGACAAAATAACACCATCTGACACCTTGAATTACTGAGTAAACTTTTGTACCACTGAAAACTCACATCAGGTGCTTGGACAGAATTGTAGGGGGAGGACAGCCCTTGTCATCTGGTAAGTTATACAAGTATGTAAGCTGCTCACAGTGAAGATATAATAGCTTTCAGGAGTAGAGAATAGGTAGAAAGTACAAAAATTAAAAAAAGCAACAACAACAACCAAACTGTACTGGTTTTTTCTCCACAAATGGTATAATAAGATCAACCCAATAATTTTTAATTTAATAAACTTGGAAACATTGTTAATATTTGGAATCTGTTTTATTCCATCTTATTTGCTATAATATTTGCAGAAATAACTGCAACTAATAAGGAAAAACAATTAAAACTGTTCTTTCAGGAATGGAACCAATCATAGATATGGTCTTTCCATTTTCTTATTTTTCACAGAAGACTTCAAAGGATAGATTATGTAAGTCAAAGAAAGGGACATCTTTCTTTGACTAAGCATCTAGTCTAAGTCCTTTTACTTCACAGAAGAGAGAATGCCGTCTAGAAAAGTGACATGTTCATGGAACCAGAAACAAAAACCCATGTCTCCTGACTCCCTATATCTATGTCTTATTTCATTACACACATGAAGCAAGATGGGAAACATTCAGCTCTCAGTACTGGGGACAACTTTCTCAACTGTTGTGTAAGCACACTTCGATTGGCATGTTTACCAAGCATAGGCAATAGGTACATCACATACCAGATGTACGTGATAATTATTACTTGAGGGTAAGATGATGAGTGATGGTTTGTGATTAGATTTTACACATAGTAAACAGACATCTTGGATACTATTATCTTTTTCCTTATTATTTATTTATTTATTTATTTATTTATTTATTTATTTTGAGAGAGATAAAGATAGTGAGAGAGAGGGAGGGGCAGAGAGAGGGAGACAGAGAATCCCAAGCAGGATCTACACTGTCAGCACAGAGACTGACATGGGGCTTGAAACCACGAGATCATGACCTGAGCCAAACCAAGAGTCAGACACATAACTGACTGAGTCACGCAGGTGCCCCTTGGATACTCTTATCTTTAAAGCAAATATGGAATTAGTACATTAAAGAGTGAGTATCTTAACAAATACACAAAATAGCAGGGAAGAGGAAAGAAGGATTTTAGAACAATGAATTTAGAAGATACGATTAAATTTTGATGTTCAGATGTCCCTTCACCTACAAATCACTTGATAAAAATGACCTAAAAAGTTTTTTTTTTTCTCATGCTATCTCCTCCGCTCCCAACTATGTCATTTAACTAGCAGAAATGCAGCCTATTTGTACTTTTTCCCTTCTGCATCAGTTTCGATTCCTTTTTATGTGCTTGCTTTTATCTAGGTGTCAGATTCTCTCTAAATGATAGATTGTAATCTCAGCTATAGAAAAATGAAACATAAAATGGATGGATTTGATTTTAAGAGATGTGGTCTAGTCAGGTGGCAGCTACAGAAAGAAGAGCCTCTAGTGAGTTGCGGCATTATGTGTATTTTACATTAACTCTTGGTCTCATGAATATAAAAATATTTTGTAGGAAATTTCTTTGTTGTGTTTTATAAAATTATTTTTAAAAATTCTTCCTCCTTAGGTCTCTCAGGATAATCCCAAACCTCTGGCAGTTTTTAAGTCAGAATATGAATTGCATCATGAAAAACAGTTTCCTTCACTTCGAGAACATGCTAATCAGTCATGTACTCAATCTTTTTATATATTGAGAATTTACTAATGCTGTATATTGGGAGCACTTAGAAATGTGAATGAAGAATGAATAAAACTTTTATGGAATCATCTAATGGAGGAAGCAGGAAAGCAGAGACAATTATAGCATGGGGTGATGAACTTTATCATAAGGGTATAGAAACCATGCTAGATGGAATAAAGCTAAGTCAGGAACTGTGTGGAAAGCATGCTTAGGTCTTATTTTTAAAAATGTATCTGTGCATTGAGTTGAAGGTCTGTGCAGATTCTGTGATCCTTATTCAGTGGATCAGACAAACATCACAGGCCTTCAAGTTCTTACTGACTGTGTACAATGGATCTTAAAAACAACTGAATCTAGAAAGAAAATGCAAGGTAAACCAAATTATTTAAATGATTTCCTTACCCCGGTGATGTTTAAAGAACTGTATTTAGAGGAATCTAGTTTCCCATGACCTCCCAGTGTGGTTTCATTTTTTAAATTTTGCAATGGAGTTTCCAAATGTCATACTCAAATTTTAAGTATGAACATTACAGAGAAACATATTCCTAATCAAAAGAATATTCTTAGTTATAGCAACAATTTAGTTTCTCCATTTTCTGTCTTCTTTCTTCCCTCCCCGCCTCTCTCTCTTACTCTCTCCCTCTTCCTTCCTTTCTTCCTTCTTTCCTTCCTCTCTCTCCCTCCCTCCCTTCTTTCTTTCTTTTCTTTCTTTCTTTCTTTCTTTCTTTCTTTCTTTCTTTCTTTCTTTCTTT